GAGTTGCCGACCCCTCGGTACTATGTTACCGTTCCCTTAAATTATATTTGAGTCTTTTGCTTGTGTATGCAACGTGTGTATTGTTTATCAAAGTTCCAATTTTATCACTGGTTTATAGTGATGTCTCTTTCCCGTTTGCTTCTGTTTACATGAAGTAAATTTCTAAGACTTGATTAAGTTTCTATTGCCTGGTATAAATTTATTCTTTGTGTTCTACTCACTAGTTCATTCCAATAGAGGGACGCCTCTCACTTATTTATTTATTTTAAGGTTTTGTTTTCCGCTAAATTAAATGGATCAAAGTTAGTTATGCCAAAGTGTCGATACCCTTTCACGTGTCGTTTTGATTTGTGGGTTGTCGTTTTGGTAAGTGCTCTATGTTGATGTAAAGTGAGTGTTAAAATGTATTGTTTATTGTGACCGTTTTGTTGTTGTGATTAAAATTGCAGCTATTGTTGGTTTGTTGTAAGTAGGTTTCAATCATACTGTTTGTACAAATTTTATTGCAAATCTTGTCCCCTTGGTTTCTTAAATTATCTTTATTCAGTGAAAATTCTAAAGCTATATAGTTTTACCAGTTCTACTCTCTTAAGTGCGTTTAATTACAAAACCTTATCTCTATTTAAAATTCATTGTTGTTAATTAACTTTAAGTAACTTTGTTTGCTGTGTAAACGTCTTCAATTAAATGCTGTGCTTTTGTATTTCTTGACATGTTGTTGCTTAATAGTCTTGCTCAAATGGTTAATTATTTTTCATAGTTTAATTCCATGTTATCAATTTCGAAGTATATTCACTTCCAGTGTTTGTAACCCGTTGCCTTGCCATCAACTTATTTTGCTATTAAACCACTGTCTAAATGTAAATTTCTCTGGTGTTCTGCTTTATGCTTATTTCAACCAACTCTAATTATTTGTGTGGCTTCAAGAAGGGAGAGACGGAAGAAGAACGCTGGCCTACTCCTCACCCCATCTTGATTTGAAGGTCCTCCCCGTTTCTTCGAAACATTGAACCATGACAACATCGCGAATTTGAGTCTGGCTACATGAGCGCCATTCAACTTTTTTTCGCCTTTTAAAGACGAATCGATTGATATAAGTTGCAGTCGAATCGGAGTACTTTTCAAAAATCACAATTTTTATCGGTTGGGATCCAACCAATCTGGATGCGTAAGAGGGGCGATTTTGCAAAGTACTCCGATTTGACTTCAACTAATAATAATCGATTCGTCTTGAAAAGGCGCAAAAAAAGTCGTTTGGTGCTCTTGAAGTCAGACTCAAAATTGCGATACTGAGGGCCAAAAACTGCGAAAAGAAAAACGGAAACGCTGTTTTTATTCTGTTCCATTGGCCAAGCCCAAAACCAATATGGGTGGTGGACCACCATAGGACCTTCCTTAAAAAAAAATTGTCATCAAAAAATTCGGATGCATTTTTGGGGTATTTGCGGAAAACGATTTTCTGTCCATACCTCCCGAAACAAGTGACTTGTGAAGTGGCTCTCGGAGACTTTTTTTTCAGCACCATGGAAAGAAAGGAAATCCACCTGGCAGCACTGTTAATTTTTTGCCGGAATGTACTGTAGTTCAGAACACAGGATTCTTATTTGCTGTACCTGGTACAGGATATTCCGTACTTCACTCCTGCGGTACAGTAAATCCGGTACAAAGTACAGTAGATCCTGTAAAAAGTATAGAAAATCCTATACTCTGAACTACACGGCAAAAGTACCGCCTGGGATTCCCAGGCGGCGCCCGGAAAATAGGCCCTTTTTCCCATGATGCGCCTGGGAATCCCAGGCGGTACTTTTGCCGTGTACAGTGACAGCTGTTCTAATCGCCACAGGATTTACTGTGATTTTATTCCACAGTGAGGTCGCTCTCAGGCAACAAACAAATTTTTAGTGGAGGTTTCAGTGTTTTTTACAATTTACGTGACTCATGCTTTTTGGGCCGACCAAAAAAGTTGAAAATATTTTCTGGAGCTCTTTGCTACACAGGTAACACAACACTCTCAAAGTTTCGCCGGAATCCGAGACATCGATTTCGGGACCTCGGGTGACTTAACAAAAAATTACCCAACACTCGTTATAAATTAATAACGATTTATGTGTTGAATGCAATCTGAGCTATTCCTTTTCAAAATAAAGTGATTCACACCGATCACGCCGACCAACTTGATCGCCAGCGCGGTGACCACAGTGTGTATCCGGTGGCAAATTTGATTGCCACTTAATTGGCAGGCTGTTTTGAATACCTAACGTTGGCAAGCTTTGGCCTTTAGTAGTTGACCATAATTGGCGCTTTGGCCGCCTGCAATGCCCTAGTTTCAGGATTTCAGGGTCGGGCTTGCCAACTTTGTGGCAAGCGAACTTGCCACGGCTTTGCAGTGCCGACAGTGTGCTCAGGGCTTAGGATCAAGTGCCATTTGGCAGAACTTTGATGTTTTCGGCAAGACATCGAATACCGTGACAATGGGCCGGCACAATGAAATATAACATTACACTTGAGAAATAAAGGCATTGGTTTTAAGGCCAGGGACAGGTGAAAAAATGAAGAAGTTTGGTGAAATTGAATGAAATGAGTTCCGGGTGGAAAATGGTCCTTTGGACCTTCCTCTTTCAGGATCTGTCGGGACTTCGACTATCCGGGACCTGGAAGTGCTTAAAATACATCTTTTCACACACTCCTGCATTTACGACACTTTAGTAAAATTGTCCGTTTTGCCATCAAGGGGGGAGGGGGGGGGGTCTAGCGAAAATCTTGCCATTTTCAAAGTGAACCCCACTGTCATAATTTGTTGGGAATATGAAATCATACTTCAAAGAGACTAAGATTTGATTTTTGAAGGCATATGCTAGGTCTTGAACCCAGTCGAATTGTCTTTTTTGGACTGTTTTGGCTTTATTTAGCCGTATCTTGAACAATCCTCTTGCGCATACTATTTTGACGTAAAAGGCTTATCTTCACATTTTGCACTTCTTCGATTCATTTTAAAAAGATTCCAGCATGCCTAGTTCAAAATTTCCATTATATTAGTAATCACATGCTTTTTTCATCTAAGAAGTCACTAAAACTTGTCTATTTTGTACATTGTTGATCAATTTAAGTGAAATGCATGCTTTAGAAGCTTGCCAATGATAATGTAATGGACATTTTCAGTTGTGCATGCTGGGATCTTTTAAAAATGAATCGAAGAAGTGAAAAATATCCAGGTCAACCTTTTACGACAAAATAGTATGCGCAAGGAGATTTTTTTGGCTGAAAATCCATTAAAACCTGTCACCAAACTTTAAACGCCCTTTTCTCCGAAGACATTTTTTTAACATTTGAATGGTCCTGTGCGCATACAGTTTGAAGTGTCGTCAATGATATTTTTTCCACTGACTCAGTAGGTTATTGCGAGGAAACGCAAGTGACAGTTTTTGTATATTCCACCCAGAAGTATGGTTTTGGATATCGGTTTTTACAAAAAAAGGGAAAATCTTTGGTTTTTGAAAAATATCAAAATTGAAAAGTTGGTATTTTGCTATCAGTGCCGGAAACTAAAATCTGTCACTTGCGTTTGTTCTTTGGACTTAGACGAACAAAAAAATATGTCGGTCAGGTCAATAACCCAAAAATGGGAAACGCACAGGAATTTTTTTAACAAACACTTAAAAAATTATAAAAAAGCCTGTATCTCAGGAACCGCTTGATATTATAGGATGGGATTTTGGGTGAAATAGTTTATCATCAACAGTAAGATTTTGACAGAAAATAAGAAGTTTTGGACCAGCAGTTTCTGAGATCATTTTTTCACCTGTCCCTGGCCTTAATGAAGATTGACATAGAACAATAAGCATGAATAATGGGTACAGTATTTATGCTTATCTGTAAAATTTTAGTACAATACTAAAATAGTCTCATCTAAGAGCAGAATGAACGGAATCACTTCAACATTTTAAATCATGTAGCATAAAGCTGAACATTGACATCAAGAGAGAAGTGGGTCTATCCCGAAGCACGGACTAACACTAGACAATCAATTCGAACACAATGAAAAGACCGGTTCACTTCAATTCTTTCAAGCGCTCTGTTCGATTAAAAGAAACACAAAGAAATACAGCTCTTTAAGATGTAATAATCACTTAAGTAGGCAGAGAAAAAAAAGGACATATTGAAACTAATTGGATAATTTAATTACCATCTCAGGCAGCGTAGAAGGGACAGGATTGCACAGTATTACGGAGGTACTCGTCTGAACCATGCATTAGTTATTGCTAGGATGAAGTGGGTTACTAGGACTGAAAGCCTGGAAACATCCCTTAGGGCAACTAGCGGATTTGCTTTGCGACGAGTAGCACACCTCAGAGTTCGTGGTTTCTGCCAGACGTTCATGGCAGCCCCACTTGCACCACGGGCAGTGGTTACACATCATCTCGGGGTCATCCGTTTCAATGTAGAGATGCAGACGAGGGTTCCTCATGAGGACATCGTGCACGGCAGGCCTGTGCAGTGTGCCGTGCATGCACGAATCCTCAAGGACGTTCACCTTGAGCGTCGTGAGGCACGGCAGCACAGTGGGGCTGACAGCTTTTAAGAAATCTTGCTCAAGGTCGTCGTCAAACGATGAGTGTCCTCAAAGATGTAAAGGAGGGAAGGAAAGGGGCCACCAGGGTCGTAACGTGTGTTTCCGGCGGTTCCTCATTATCAGCAAGAGCGACTAGTTCTTGAAGATGTTGGGCGGAGGGTGATGTGCTGAGAGCGCGCAGTGGAGCGTCAGGGTCTTCCGCGTAAAGGCACAGCTTGTCGAGAGGAATGCCAGGGTGCCTTCACTCTCATTCCAGGAACGTGACATCACGTTCGTTTGAGCATTGTGTCACGTTCGTTTGAATGTGAACGAGCTGATTTTCGGCCAATTCACACCCAAACGAATGTGACACAATGCCCAAACGAACGTGACAGTTTGTCACGTTCGTTTCAACGTGATGTCACGTTCCTGGAATGAGAGTGTTGGGGGGGGGGGGGACGCAGCGCCCTCCTGGTCGTCACTGCCTCCTTCACGGTAGGTCGATGTGGGCAAGGCCGGGCAAGGCCACCAGCCTCCACAAGCCTTCACACGGCAAACACTTCAAGGAGCGAAGCTGGAGAGCCTGAGCGAGGAGCGACGCGGGGACGTCCTCCAGTCGGTGTAGCTCCACGTGTTGCAGTGTAGCGGCGTGTGTCCGCAGCAGCAGTTCCAGGAAAGGGTCGGCCGAGGGCGAGTCGTAGCGAAGCCTGGTCAGCGAGGGCACCCCGTCGGCCTCGCACCAGTCGCTGGGCAGCGGCCTGCGCGAGTTGTTGGTCACGTCGAGGGTGAGCAGACCACGCATTTCAAAGGCCGCACTCAGCAGCGGCTGCAGCGCGTTGGGGCGCCTGCACTTGATGAGCAGGACGAGCTCCGTGACGCCGCCGACCGCGGAGAGCCTTCGGATCAAACTGTGGGCCAGGATTGCATCTCCCCCGATCCGCACAGTCAGCTCAAGCGCACGGACGACGCACGCAATGTCCGCCAGGAGGAAGGCCGCGGGTCGCAGGGGCACCTGCACGGTAAATTGAAATGGCAGGATGTGCACACGAACTTACTGCGAAGTCTTTTCGTGCATACACTCTCATTCTAGGAACGTGACATCACGTTCAAACGAATGTAACAAAATGTCACGTTCGTTTGGGCATTGTTTCACACCCTTAAAACCTTACGAAGTATTTTGAGCATACATACGTACAAAATAATTTACTTTGTTATATACGAAGAAATAGTTCGTAAATTACAAAGTATTTTCTTTGTAAGCTTATGTATGCTCAAAATACTTCGTTCTAACAAACTGCTTTGCTTTGTAAGGCCTGAAATAGTATGAAAGGTTTTCTCAGTGCACGTTCGTTTAAATGTGAATCGGGCATAAATTAGCTTATTCACACGTTCATACGAATGTGACACAATGTTCAAACGAACGTGACATTGTGTCACATTCGTGTCAACGTGGTGTGACGCTCCTACACTGTCAGAAAATTCCGAAAAAAAAATATGGAAAAATCATGGAGTTTTTCCGAAACTTCTGCATGGAGCTCTCCATAAATGCAAATTCTGGGCTTTCTCCGAAAAGTTTCGGAATTTTGAACAAAAATGCATGCTTCACTATCTCGGAAACACGAAAAAAGGTTTGCAACCAGTTAAAAAATGAAGAAAAAGCGGACCCCTACTTGTTTACCTCAGTTTTTCATAATATTAAGGGAAAGCTACAGGGTATAAGTCAAATGAGCTCGAAGGAGATTGTCCCTTCTTTGACCATTTCAGACTAAAGAATGCTTCAGTGAAGCCCTCTTTAACATATCTGAGAAAAGACATGCATTTTACCTCTCATCAGGACCCAAGTAATGCTCCGAACGAGGGGGTTAACACTCGGGGTTTTGGTGTACAGACTACTCCCTATTACGCGAATTACGGGTATTACAGATGTATTACGCGTATTACAGGTGTATTACGGGTATTACGTGTGTATTACGGGTATTACATGTGTATTACGGGTATTACAAGTGTATTACAGGTGTATTACGGTGCGCATGGAATATCAACGGAACAGTTTCTATGTAAAAAAACGTAACTATTACGGACCCAAAAAGCGCGCCAAACACCTATGATACACGTAATTCACCCGTAATACGCGTAATACAACAGTAATACGCGTAATACACACGTAATACGCGTAATGCACCCGTAATACCCGTAATACACACGTAATACGCGTAATGCACCCGTAATACCCGTAATACGCGTAATATAACCGGAATACACGTGATTCACCCGTAATACACGGAAGAGTGTGGGTGATAATGAAAAATTCTGTACCAATTATCTAGGAGGTCATTGTGGGGAGGTTATTTCACAGGGCCCATTGGGGGTATTACGCGCGTATTACAGGGTATTACAGGGTATTACAGGGTATTACAGGGTATTACAGGGTATTACAGGGTATTACAGGGTATTACAGGGTATTACAGGACAGCTTGTACAGGGTATTACACGAGTGTTTACCCCCTCGGCTCCGAAGCACATCTGTTTAAGCCCTGAGAAAATCTCTCCGAAAAAAGATGGAAAATGAATGGAGTCTCCATGAACGTGATTAGAGGGTTTTTCTCCATAAAATTTCGGAGCTAATTTCTAACAGTGTAGAATGAGAGTGTAGCTTATGCACAAAATTGAGCACACGCGTGTAGTGCTTGACTTCGTGCGCGAAAACGCACAAAAGCTGCATAACTGCACATTTTTATGCTAAGAGGCATTTTTTTTCTTTTTTTAAAAAAGAAGTCCGATTGTGGAACCCGACCGATGACGATTTCCTCTATGCAAGTGCGACGCCCTCGAGAGGAATGCCAGGGTGCCTGGGGGCTTTCTGAGACCACCATGCGAAATACAGGACATTTTGAAAAGGTGATCCATGTTTGGTAACCTTGCCATAACAGTCCAGGGGTTCCAGGAGGAGATATTTTTTGAAATTGACCAAAGTAACATCCACGCACAGAAATTGGTTAGTCTCAATGAGACAAAAAGAAAATGTCAATGCACATCGGAGGCTAAAATACGAAATTAGGAAGTGTTAGGTGAGTATTTTGCACTCAAGGGAAATTTAACACTTTTCAAGCTCAAATAATTAGTTAATTCGCATCCAAGCCCAAGACATGAAGTAACTTTTTTGTTTGTCTTGTCAAGACGAATCTATTACTGTAAGTAAATGATAATTTGGACTGTATCAGAGATTTTAACGAAATCTGTAATCCATCGTATCAGAGAACGCCTGTATCATTTTGGAAACGACCGAAACCACATTCACTTCCTGGCGGTTTCCAAAGACAATCGTTACAAGAACATTTCAATTCTACCTTGAGTCTGCCGATGCATGGGATGAGGGCTGCCGTCGCGGCGCGCAGCACTCCCAGGCTCTCCACGCAGACGGAGCGCCACAGGTGGCGGTGCAGGCAGAGGTCCCTGAGGCGGCGGCACGCCACGCGGCAGGCGAAGAGCGTCCTGGCGGGCAGGAAGGCCAGCACGGCCAGCAGCGCGTCGTCAGGCAAAGACAGCAGCTGCGGGAAGAGGGGCGTCACACTGCAAATCCAAGTGTAGGACAGGTCGACACTTTAAAGCGTAGACCAGTTTGTCCTACGCTTGCAAGTGTCGACCAGTTGTGTCCGACGACTGCATGTGTAGGACACTGTTGGTCCTACGGCAAATTGCACTGAGTTTCCTATTGTGATCCCACACGTCAGCCGTCGGACAGTGTGTGGTCGACACTATTCAAAGCGTCGGACACAACTGGTCGACACTTGCAAGCGTAGGACAAACTAGTCTACGCTTTAAAGTTCGACCTGTCCTACACATGGATTTGCAGTGCAGGATCCTCGCTAACCTCACCGGGCGACTCCATGCCAAAGCAACGAACTCTTGGAAATTCATCTCTTCGATTTGGATGAAACTTTTCCAAGGGGTAGAGGTCAGCATAAAAAAGATCCCATGTCAATTTTCCTCCATCGTTTTGCGGTCTCTCACTCCGTTCGGCTGGCGAAGTTATCCCTTTGGTGACAATCATGATATTTTGTTTATTTTGAAAATTTACCCTAGTTTCTCTCATAGTGAAATAAGGTGTCCAAGCTTATGACAAATTTGTTTTGACGAGACGAATCCGTTGATAAATAGAAAAGTCATTTTGGACCACTGTGAAAATTTACACCATATTTCAGTATGAGAGAAACTAGGGTGAATTTTCAAAATAGTCGAAAATGACTTTTCTGGATATCAACGGATTCGTTTCGACAAGACAAATATATGTGCTCACGTGTCATAAGCTTGGACGCAAACTCAGAAAGTTGGTTCGAGAATTCAAGAAAACAGACCAAAATGATACAGCTTTTCTTATCCAGAAAAAAACTTACGGTGGGCCGACCAAATCCTTTTAGTATTTTCTTTCAATATGTGAGAAGATCCTGTTGGAAAAGTCACATCAAGATCGAAGATGAGCCATTTTAAATACAACTTTTTTTCGAAAAAAAAAAAACGTTAAACGAAGAAAGGGACATGAAACTTCAGCCTATCGTCTCGACTATTCCCATCGTGTTCCCCAGCTCTCTTCGCGTCAAGAACCATTGTCCGAAAAAAGCTAAACACGCTCAGTAAGTACGGAGGAAAATAAAGAAAATATCATGATTCTGACCAAAGTGAAAACTTCGCCATGTTATTACAGCCGAACGAAACCAGCGAAACGCAAAACCCTTTGAGATGGGATCTTTTTATAATGACCCCTAGGTGTTTGTCAGGCCACTTAAGGGGAAACAGCTAGTTTCGTTACATACGACGTGGTATAAGTAAAAATCAGGCGCATAGGCGCACTCTGGGAAAAAATCACAGTAAATCCAGTAGTGATTAGTACAGCTGTCACTGTAGTTCAGAGTACAGGATTTACTGTACTTTTTAACAGGATCTACTGTACTTTGTACAGGATTTACTGTACCACAGGGGGGGGAGTACGGAATATCCTGTACCAGGTACAGTTGATACTGTAGCCAGGCACGGTAAATCCTGTGATCTGAACTACAGTAAATCCCGGCAATAAAATTAACGGGATTCACTGTGGTTTTTTCGTACAGTGCGATATGTTAAAAAAATTAAATGAGGGTTTTGATCCCATAAACTAGCTTCTTTAACTTTCTCTTCAAGAAGCTGTTTCGGTCTTAGTCCAAACCGTATCGGAAAGACAGTAGGTTTCAACCACGCTTAACACACCTACGAGAATAGTGAATTAAGACCCTCTCTCGAGAACAAGTTCTTCAAGGTTCTAAATAAAATGTTAAAACAGTATTTAGTTAAGTGTACAATAACCATCTACACGGTGTAGCGAAAAAATATACTTACATCGGGGCTTGTCTCCATGGTGACGAGCGCAGCTAGCTTCGGTGTACGCAGGGAGCGTCTCTGGCAGAATGCGTGCGTGTGCGGGGCAGAGGACCTCAAGCAGGCGAAGAATCAGCGGGAAGAGAACCGTACAAAAAGCACACGTTTCATGGGTATACCCTGCGGAATCCAACACCAGGTTTATCAGACACTTCTAGCAGGGCCTGTAGTGAAGAACAAGAAGAAGAACACAGACCGGAAACAGTACAAGAAACCGGCATATTTCGGTGAGTTTTGGCAGGTTTACACCGAACAGGGTACTTCGGAGAAAACCTAGACCGGAAGTCATCGACAGATCGGGAGTAACACAACAGCATCGCGCGGCTGTGCTGAGCGGTAGTGGGGGTCGAAATCGGCGGAGTGGGGGTAAAGGCGGCGCGTGCAGCCCCGAGAAGTTCTATGGCTATTCCCATTGCTATTCCTATTGCTATTCCTATTGCGATTGAAGGACCTCGTTGCGAGGCTAGGGATGCTTGATATGAGAAATCTGAAGGCCAGCTTCGTTTTTTGTTGCCTGGGTTGGTCAGCTCGATGCATTGCGGTTCTTGGCAGTTGTTAGTTTTCCTCGTGGAGGGTTAAAGATTGTTCAAATTTTCACTATGTTTTTGTGTCTCAACAACAATGTTTGAGCACTTGTCAGCTTTAAAAATATTTCTGAGAACCAAAAGTTCTTAACGTTTGGAAATGTGAGTTGTGTGGGCAAGGGTATATATTTTTGTAATCACGTTTAAGAAAACAACTCAATAACTCTAGTTCAGTAAATTATTTATTATTTCTGCCTGTGATATTCATTTCAGCTTCGTTGCCCGATAAAATGAAAATGACTACCAAAAAGTCACGTATACACTTGAAAAGTGGCATATGATGGACAGAATTGAAGAATTGACAGAACTGGGAAAGATGTTATTTTTCCTCAATCGAGGGTAAAAGATTACTTCAAAATTTTCAAAAAAATAATTTTTGGTTTTCTCACAAAATGTTTGACAACTTTGGTTCAGAAAATTTATAAAATTTATTGCTGGGGAAGCGAAGCCGTTCTCCAGGGGTTTGGAAATGTGTCTGTTGTGTGGGCAAGGGTATATGTTTTTGTAACACTTTAAAAAACGGCTCGGATAATCTAGTTTCGCAGGGTTATTTATTTTTCTGCCTGTGATATTCATTTCAGCTTCGTTGCCCGATAAAATGAAAATGACTACCAAAAAGTCACGTATACACTTGAAAAGTGGCATATGATGGACAGAATTGAAGAATTGACAGAACTGAAGGAAAAGATCGTATTTATATCCATCATATCGACGTGGTAAATGTTGCAGATTACAATAAAATCCAATAATTTTCAAAAAAAAAAATAATTTAAGAAATTGGTTACATGCTCATGAAATTAGTCTGACTAATAATTGAAAGTAATCACGGAAAAATAAATTATCTGAAATTATAACTCTACCCGTCATGGCAGCTAGAACCCTGAGCGTTCAGAGCCTTCTTTCTCCCGAGATAAATTGACTTAGTTACTTTTAACTGCTCGATAAGGCGTAGTTCAGTGAGTCTTTCTGCATCTATGTCTTTCATTTCTTGGTGGATTTGTAGCCGTAGCACGTGATGGACGTGTGTAGTAACCATCCAGTGAACTATGCAGCCGCGACATGTTGCCATATTCTTCTTCTGTTCTTGTATGAAGGCACTGTAAAAGTGAACAGATTAGTCATACGTAGGATGGAGCTTGATTTCGAGTATAGATGAAAGCCTGTTTGCCACTGAACGCAGGACAAAAGGTATAAAAAAGGAACTTTCTTTCTTTACATCTCCTTTTTTGTTTCTTTAGAGAATTCGTACAAACAAAAAGAGAATCGTTGCAGACACGCAGCGTGTGTCGCGGCGTGTGATCAAGTGCAAATGAGACTGATTGATGTGATTATTCTGTCGATACTCCGCGATCGTACCAACGTCCCTGTGTGTGCGTTCCGCAGGTGCCCTCGCCCTCATCCCTCTTCTTGAGCATCGCTTGCCTGAGGTAGGGTAGCCTTTAGTGCCTTTAGCGCCTGTGACGTAGGCCACCAGCCCGGCCCGCAACACACTGATGTAGAGACAGTGGCCTACCTTGCCCCTGACCTCTCACGGGGTGAGGTAGGCCGCTGTCTGCACACCGGAGTGTTGCGGTCCGGGCTGGTGGCCTACGTCACAGGCGTTGAAGGGAACACAAAAACCGGCAAGAACGGCAACGGCGCTTAAACCGTTCGTTTGTAGCCTAATTGTGGCTACCTTTGTAACCACAAAGAGGCACGTATCGTACCGTGCCGATACACCATGCGCCCGACGCACTACCGACGTGAAGGGTAAAGGGTATTCATGTGCACCCGGGCATACTCCACACGAGCAGCAACACGCCACACGTCCTCGATCAACACGGAGTCTATGCATGTGCAGACCGAAGACTCCGGACATTAATTGGTCACCCCGTGACCACGCAAACGAACACCACTTGACAATGTGGCAAGACAAAACTTTATGATAAATTGGATTTACATATCGATATTGGCAGAACAAACTAAAGGTAGAACTAATTGTTTGCTCAATATCACTCCAGGTGAAGTTTGGCCTTACCTGTTGTAGACGTATGCGTCTTCCTCCGGAACACTGACCCGAGGGAATGCCAGCTTGGCCTCTTCCCTTTCGACCCACATTTGAAGGGCCTTGGTGTTCTGCTTCAGTTGAATATATTTCTTTCGAGTATTGTGAAAATCGAGAAACTTTTGGGTGATTGCATCCGCTAAGGGTGTCGTAAGCCCCTTGGCTAGGAGGATTGCCCTTATCTCATCGTGACTCCGGTCCATGCAGGCTTTTCGAAACGCAAGGTAGTCTCTAAAAAAACAATAACATGGAAATTATTATTTATATTGCTGTGATGCTGGTTTCCTGGCGCCCCCCGACCCACGAGCCGAGTGCCCGAACAAACCTAGCCCAGCCGAGGCCGTCGCGGAACCGACAATAGGCGGCACTCCAGCGCCCCGGCCCCAGGCCAGGCGCGGATCCAGGGGGGGATGGGGGGGGATGGGGGCGTCGCCCCCCCAGGCGGTGAAGCCGCCTGAAAGGTAGGCAAAAAGTCGCACATTAACCCTGTAGGTAGGCAACTTTCGCGACATCGCCCCCCCCCTGAACCCGTCCCTGGATCCGCCCTTGCCCGGCCCCGGCCGCCAAAGCACTGCGGACCGCGACACGAGGAGTACTCGCGTGCATGACTGTTCAACCAATAAACCACCTAAGTTCCCAGTTGCCTACCTTGACACAACAATATCACACATCCGTTCTCCAGGCTACGAAGAATTCGACCAACTAACAGTTTTTCTGGCAGTGTACCCCGATTCCGAATGAAACGAAAACGAAAAAAAATTGGCGCACATAAAATGTAAGGAATAAAATCAACAAACTTGACGTCGTTCTGGTCACTCGGCGTGTTAGCGACCCATGGATTTTCGCCACTCGGATCAAACGCAGTTAACGCACAGTCCACATTCTCGACTTACTCAAATTCGCAATTCTCCATCTTTCACTTAAGAGCTCGGCAGTCTCGTTCGTGCTCGTCAGCTCGTCAACAGTGGACTGATGGGCTTTCTGCGATGCAACAGCTGAAATAGCAATAGCAATGAAACAGCAATAGCAATGCCAGCAATGATTTGTTGAGTAGCAATGACAGCAATAGCAATGACATAACTATGACCAGCCCTAGCTTGCCGCGTGGGCCAGAGGTAGGAGGGTTGCAAAGGCAGTTGTGGTCTCATCACGGTCGGTGAAGGTTGTCTGTGTACTAAATATCGTCATCTCAATCAAGTGCACTATGTCTTGGGAAAACAACAGGGCCGATTACTACGCCATGATCGCGGCATTCCCAGAAAGTGCAGTGACAAAGATTGGGCTGAGGAATTTTGTGGACTGGACGGTGGAGGTGGCGGCAACGGCTGAGAAAGCCAGAAGGCTTAATCACAAGCTCTCAGATGCGCTCTACAGAGGCATAGGCCGTCCGCAGGACATAAACTTCTCTGGTAAGTACTCTTTGTTTCATTCGTCTTCTTCGATGGGGACGGCGGGGTGCTTTGAGTTTCGGGCGGCTGTCCACCCTGGCGCACAGTGGGCCAGAAACCGGTGGAGGCGGCCAAAATTCGAAACGCGTTTAGAGCAGGGGTCTCAGAGTGAGCATAGCGGGCCGCATAGAGAGAGAGAAAGGCAAAGAAGAGAGATAGGAGATGAAATGAGTGAGGCGGCGAAGGTGTGACACGCCGGACTCGACCCAGCCGCACGGCAGCGGCGACGACGGCGACCCAGCGCTGCGCTGCCTCGGCCGCACGGGCTGACTTTCTGTCCTTGTTCCTCCCACGTGGCCGTGTGAGTGCGAGAGAGATGCCGGCCGTTTGACAGCTGGGCGACGAGGCGCGCCGCCGCCAGCCCAGCCGCCGCCGGCCGCAGGGCCGCCCGCCTCAGGGGAGGTGTGAAATCAGTGAGCCATCCGCCATACCATAGGCGTGCCTACCCAACGCGTCCCCACCATCACGTCACCCTGCCCCGCCTCACACCCGCAGAGCTGCCGTAGCCTGCCGCAGGCCTGCCGTACCCCCGCCAGCCCCGCCTCACCCCGCGCTTGGGGGAGAGCGACATCCTCCACCTTGCGGGGACTGAGGGGGCTGGTGCGGGTGTAGTAGGATAGAGCGCTATAGCACCGCCTATAGGCTGGACCTGTGTGTCGCAGATAGCCGATTGCTTTGGGAGGGGAAGGTGATCTGAAGGGGGTTGCAACCCTGGAGATTTTCAAACAATATTTCAATTTGTCAAAACATAGTTTTCTTTTTTAAACATTTTCTCCCTGTGATATTCTAAGATGATATCTGTTTCCGTTTCATTTCTAAATAAATATTTCTTTCTATATTTTTAAAAAAAATGAACATTTAAAATGCATTTGAATATTTTTCTGGAACTTGGTATGGGGTCCTGTGACTGGCATCTCAGAATGTCCCTGTAAAATGTGAGATTAATCCAGCAAGCGGCGTGCCCAGGAAGCTACGCAAGAGTTTGGAAAAGGGAGTTTACGCAGACCAAAATGGAATGCTGAGTGTACAGAGTACATCAACTTG